TCCAACTTCCTGCCACCATGTCTCTCATCTAGGGTTTCCACACACGTTGCTCGCCAGGCCTGGGTTATGCATGCGGGCCTTGGCGGGATGAGAGCTATGGCTGTGAATAATGAGTCAATTACCATCCAGCCTCGGGGAGAGGACAATTATTCTGGACGGGCCATGCAGAGGTAATCCTCTCGTCCCGGCGCACTTTCAAATGAAGAACATAAAACAGTTGGAATTCAGTGCACCGCAAAGGGAAATTAGAGAAAACATTTGTCTGCCGAATCTAGCTTCTTTGGATTTATTTTGATTTATGATTGATTGGTTTTTAAATTGCTTATTTAATCCTAACGACTATCACTCCAGGGGAGGCCAGATACCAAGGATCATGTGATCCAGAAACAGTGGCTTGAACTAGTTCCAGCGGACCAATCAGGAGCAAATATTATTACTGTCCAGAGAAATACTGCTCTAGGCTAGAAGTAGAATGTGAAAAAAGTGCCGACTTTCAAAAGTACCCAACCTTATTATAAGCATAATAGTTTATCCCCCACTCTCCTCTGCAGAAAGCTTTTTGTAACTCCCCATTTTTTCAGAGAATCACCCCCTCACCCCAGCCCCCTGAGTGTTCCTTCCCTTTCAGGAATAGATTCAGTCTCTCTTTGTAACAGAGAATGTGGGCTAAGTTTATATTGTCTTTGACCCTTGTGCTGGAGAACAGAAGCTCAGGGGTTGCTGGCAGGATTGGCTTGCAAATCCTGAAGATGGTTGTGTCCACCTGTGCAACGCTACCATCTCCAATGTGTGTACACTTCTAAGTGTAGCCACACTAGTGTGGCATTTGTATGGGTGGATTTGAGATTTTATAACATTTCTCTCAAAACTTACTTCTCTGAAACAATCACTTTCATCTGGAAGAGCTGTAGTCACTATGCGATTAGTGCCCACTTCATTGACGAATTAATGGTCTCAGCGGTTTCAGGAAGCGTGCCCTTTCTCTTTGGGCTGAGATGAGACCTTGTGTTTGCGCTGATCAAGGGTGAAGGGGCTGAAAGCTTATCTGTTTCGTAGGTACCTAAAGGAAATTGCGACCCCATTGCTTCAGGATAGTGAAGCCTTTATATATATTTGCCCTTTGTTTCATCTGTATTGAAGTTTTAACTCAGAAGTGCCACCCCCACGCCCCCCAGCCACCCCCACACCCAAAGTTCTCCCAGGTCTGTCTCAATAATCTTCTTGTTCCTGGAAATGCTGCGGTTGGAGTTCTGAAGTGTATAATGTTGGGCACTTCTTTCAAAGCCAGAAACATGAAGAAAAAGATGAAAAGGTTGAAAGGACCCGATGAAAAGCACAAACAGAAGAAGATGGGGCCAACACTCGGGTGGCACATTTGGCTTGCCATCGGGGCAACTCTGGGCAGCAGCATCTGGCCCTTTAATCAGGCTCTGGGCTTGGGGCGCTGCCAACATCTGCCATGTTGACATTACCATCCTGGGCCTTGTTTTCCTATTTCATTCTGCCAAGATATTTCTTACTTGCTTTTTTAAATTGTTGTTCTTTTGTTTTAAATAATGAAGGCTTTTATGAGACACACGTCTGGGTCTTTTCATACACGGTATATTCTGGTGAACTACCTTCAAAGTTTAGGGTAGAGTCTGTTGTGGGTTTGAGATCTCTCTCAATTAGAGAGAGAGGTTCTTTTCTGCATCTACCTACTTAGGTCTTAAAAATTAGGACTTTCTGTGTATAAAAGGAGGGACATGTAAAAAGTGGCAAGAAGTTTTTATTTTATCTGAGGCTCCAGTGAGAGCTGTTTTAAAGGGTTTCACACATGAAATAGTTCAACATTAGTATCAGAAGCTGAAAGTTCATTAGACTTTTGGTCACTTTAGAAGTTGCTCATTTGGATACTTGTCAAGTAACCTGGGTGTTTTATGGGGAATAGTAGAGGAGTACACAGTGGGATTGTGGGAACAAGCCGAGCCAGTCTCTGGCGGGGGGAGTGGGGGAGTATCAGTTATTCCTACATCACTGCTCTTTCCAGGTACTTAAGTCAATAGACTATTGCAATATTGTGCTGCTGGGTACAAAGTTTTTTCTCCGTGAAGAACTAACCTTAGGCTGTGCTAGTCTGAAAGGAAAAGCATTGCTGGTTCCGTCGCAGAGTTTTTGTCTTTGGTCTGGTTCGCCATCATCAGGGTGCTTGCATGTTGCCATCATTTTGAATAGCTTCCAACAGAACTTTCAAAATAAGGGAGATTAGGAACAAAGGCCTAGAAATGAACTTCTGGGAACCAGCCACCGAAAACTCTGTGGATCGCAACAGTAGGGTCCACAACCAATCATGGGAATGGCACAGGACTCTTGCATCCGACATGGGATCAGCATGTCTTGAGAGGGGGGGGTTCAGGGCAGTGATTTTATGAGTTAGCAGTACTATTTAAGGGATAAGCAGGGAGAACTGGATGTCGTGTTCCACTTATTTGGGCAGTGCGATGGACAATGGTGGGTAGCCACAGGAAGCCTTCTCTTCTGCATCTCTTTTGATGACGTTTGAAGAATTCTTTGGTTTATCACATTAACTCCTTGTCTTTTAAGACACGCCATCCCTAGGTTGCTCCACCCTGCTCCCACTGCTTGCATTTGTTCTGAGCCAGATTCAAGACACCTTTGTGACTGTAATAGAGGAAGAAATTGGGACGCTAAATCCTAACAGCCTTTCTCATTTGCCTGATCCTTCTTAGTGTTGATTAAACAGCGACATTCCTTTGTAATTTTTAAATGAAAATGTTTATTTAAAGGTTTATAATTCTTACTCCTAAAACATATTATCAATAATTTTGTGACGATGTCGATAATACAGTTGATAGTATTATCTTAGTATGTTTTCCAGGAGAAATTCACTTATTGATACGTAAGAATATAAAGGCTGAATTATACATGAGCACCTGCAGTGTTAGAAAGTGTACTTAACCCCCCACCACACACACACACACACACACACACACACGCACAAAACTTGCTATTGTGAATTGGGTGCAGGTTTACAGAGCAGGTCACCACTTTGCACTCAACACTTCACACCTATTTTGCCTGTTGTTGTTCATTGCTAACCCTTCAATGCACCACCTACTCATCTCACTCTTCCTTTCCGAACCCTTCTGAACTTTGCCCCTTGGATCTCAAATTGTTGATTATTGAACATTCAAATGGTCCATATCATGTTAGTGTTACTGCCCTCTCTATAGACCTGCCAGTTGTTTGGCTGGTTCAGTTTTAGTTTTGAAGCATAACTAAGGAAATGTACTCTTGGGGCTTCCACCAGTTCCTACCTGGTGAGTAAGCTTGATTACTTTTATGATTCTGTGGGCCAGGAAGCCTACCTCTCTATGACCGTGTCTCGGTGCTGTGGCCTGTGAGGCTTCTCTTGCTGCCACCACTTCTCTGGGTAGGGATCTTGGGCACCTGCAGTTCATGGCTCTTCTTTATTGGTGGTCTTGAGGTTCTCTCCTGCTGCTTCTGAGATGGTTGACTTTATACCTAGTGGCATGGCAAAACGGGCCACTTTCCATGTGAGAGACCTCTGCTCCTCAGTCCCATGCTCTGCCCAGTCATTTGGTGCTAGATACAAAGAGCACTGGATAGAAAAGCCACACCAAGCCATTCAACTGCACCACAATGGGCAATGAGCTTCCATCTATTGTTATAGTGCAGTTGGTGTAAAATTTCATTTAGAAGCAGTCTCCATTTCTATATAAAGTGGCAAAGCATCAAGTTTCATGAAAATAATAAATAAAACATTATGAAGCATCCTTTAGAAATGTTTGTCCTTTTTTTAAATTAATGATTAAGGGCCCAGGAAAAGCCAAAATCTAAATCCCCAAACTGGGCTTTTTATTTGCAACCAGGCAGGGATGTAGCACGAAGAATGTAGGGATTACATTCCATATGAGGTTAAGCTGGGCCCTATTCCCTATTCATCAACATACCTTGAAATACCAGGGGGTTAGCTAGTGGATTTTTATTGCTTGCCACCGCCACTTTCTGATGAGGGAGGGCAACTCTGCGAGGCTGCCTCTCTAAAAGTGGTGACCTAGGGGACTCGGTCCACTCATCTTACGACATTACCCTCTTCCACGTGTGGCCGCCAAAGTTGATACCATGGACAGTTGTGCAAGGATCTCCGCCTACAACGGTGACGTCTGTCCCCTGGACATTTCTACCCACATTTCCACTGGTACTCAGATGCAACATGACCCTACGCAAGTTCATCATTCATCATTAAACTTATTCCATTTTCCCCTGCCTTTCTGTTAATCACATTATGATGTAACTCTTTAAATTATAGTCTTTTTATTTAGTGTTTCATCTCATATACTTTATTCTAAGGAGATAGTTGTGAATATGCACAGGCTTAGTGTGAGGATGCACAGGTTTAGTGTGAGGGTGTTCATTATTTATAGTTTCAAACAAGCAAGAAAAAGTGATTAGGTAAGTAAATGAAGCCATATTTACACAATGGAATTCTTTACAATCATTACACTGGTGTTGGGGAACATGAGGGACCTTCAAAGGGCTTGGAGGAAAATTCCATTATTATTATTTTTTCCAGCAGTTACATGGGTATATAATTCACATGTCGTACAATTCAAGGTTCAGTCACATTCAGAAGAGTTGTGCAATCATTTCCATCAGGCTTGGAACCTTTTCTTCATCCATTATTTTTACAGTCCGTTCTTCGTATGGCACTTTGTTGGCCTTGCGACGAAGGCTGAGAGCAGTGTTTGGTGTATATTAGGTCCTCAATAAGTATTTCTTTAATGTTGAATAAATAGTTTTATTTTACCTGGCTTTTTAAAGAAACAACGTCGTAACATGAAGAGGGCATAAGGCCTTAGGTGTGCTGTTTAGAGTTCTTTGAAAGGGAGTCAGTTTTTGGAAGAAAGATTCTCAATAAAGTAAACCATTGTGAGCATTGTAGCTGTTTTCTAACAGTAGGTGACTTATCATTTCAGAGGATAATGGGACCCAAAAAGGAGCAGTTGGAACTGATTCTTCAGAAAATGCATTTACCTCAATAGAACTGACTCCGATAATGGAACAAAGTGCCCTTCATCTCAGAAACAAAGCTGTCTCTCTTCACCCGTCATCACAAAGTCCCGAGGAAGAGCAGGTAAGAAGACAGCACCATCGATGGCAACAATAGGAGAAAAAAAGAAGCATTTAAAGAAATACATTTACAAAAAGAGACCCTAATAACACAAGAAACACTGGGTAGTTAATGCTTCAGCAACTAAACCCCTAATTCTTAGGAGAGTGCCATTGGGACACTTTATTGAAAATCATGATTGCATTTCATGATTTCAGCAGCCCAGGTGTATGCCATAACCTGATGGATCTCCAATTTTATTAAAAAACCGCTTAATGCTTTGCTAAATTATTCTTGAAATTTACCTTTTTACCACCCTTTGTGTAGAGTGGAAATCCTAGATTTCTCTTTCTCACATTCCATGTAGATTCTGTTGTCCAGTTTTCCTAAGATTTGCTCAGTCAATGTTCCATGCTGTCTTTCTAACTTTTAAAACTTTTTTGCTTTGCTTTTTAATTATCAAAGAATCCTAGTGGGAGCTTCTCTGTTTCTAAGTCATTTGTGTTTCTGCTTTCTATTTCGTCATGACTTCCCAGTGATACTGTGGACGTTGCAGTATATGATACTGTGCTTGTATACAAGGGAAAATTTACCTCTGTTAGAAATATGGTATAAACCCCACTATGAGACGAGATGCTCCTCACTGGCCCATGGCCCTGCGGGGGACAACACCAGGAACACAGTGTGGGAATTGCGCCTGATCTGACCC